GGGGGGGGGGGGGTGTCCCTGGCCCCCCCCGCCGTCACCTGGCAGTCATCACGGCGAAGCGGCGGGGCCGCGGCGGCCGGGGAGCATGGCCGGCGGCCGGCAGGCGCCCGGCCCAGCGCTCGCCCCCGGCTTCCTCTGGCGCGGAGGCACTTTGTGGCTTCGTTAGGGAGAAGTCAGAGACGTGTGAAAAGTAGGCCAGGGGTCGGGGCGGCCTGCCCCAGCCCCGCCGAAATTGGAAGTGACGGACACCTCCCGGCTCGGCTGCTAATTTGCCTCCATGTTAAATGCCTCCGAAGCACTAATTAAAATGAAAAGTTCTTGGGTCTCACCGACAGACAGATTGAGTTATTGATGGTGGAAGCGGCCACCAACAGTAATTGCAGCCCGTCCCTGAGCGAACGCCAGTTTTGGCATTCATGAGCAGCGCCAGGCTGACAGGGGTCAGGGGGGTCAAGCCCACCGAAACAAGAGGCCGAGGAAAGGCAAAATCAGCCCTCTGTTCGTCTTTGTGCAACGTCGCTTTTGTTGCGATTAACTGTTTAGGTGTTCGAGCTGCTTTTTAGTCCTTTGAGGCCCAATTATGCTTCCCTTGTGAATCACTGCAGAAAGTTCGTTAAGCAGAACGTGACCACAGCTACTGCAGTCTGAAAAAGTAACTTCTTATTCAACTGTCTTAGCTATGTGTTTATCCACTGGATGAGTAGGCCTATATTTTATTTTTGGAGCAAATGGCATGTGTATATAGTAGCATAATTTTTCAGGAGGGGTTAATTTGCACAAAACCTGTGAATCCAGAAGGATATCGGGATTTTGAATTGGAGTTAACATAGATTAATAATAAATGTTCATTGGTCTTGTGAACTGAGCTAACTTTCTCTTCTCCACAAAGCGCTATATAACGTAGCAGTCTGTAGGAAGAGGGACTGGAATATAGTTCATGCTAAGTGAGAAATTAATTTCTTCATTCAAATGTTAAGTGAGATTGTGCTTTTTTTTTTTTTAAACATGTAGCACTATCTAGAAGACAAAAGTAACACTAAGTAAATTAGGTAACTAAACTATTTTAATACAAATTTAGCTTTCATCCAGCAGAGGGGCTGGGTTTTTACTGCAATAAAGCTTTTCTGCAAGCATTTTTCAACTGGTGGCTCAACATAGTGTTGCTTTTTTCCCTGCAATATTATAAGAAGTCACCACTGAGTTTCATTTTTAAGAAAAATAGTAATTATAGATTTAATTTCTGTAAAGAAAATGGTTTTCAAACAGATTCACTTTTACATCTTAATCTGTTGAATACTACCTATGATAGCTGTGTGTAAGTCTAAAATATATGGCTGTGACTAGTGAGTTAACATATCTAATATTTTTTACAAGAATGCAAAAACGTTCCTGTGTGTTGTTACCAAAAATGTATATTTCAGAAGAACCCTGCTATTCAGTTGCATAGTAAATATGGCTAATGTTTTCAGTTATTAATCTTAGTAAACATATGCGTTTCTAATTATTTTTTGCAGCCACGTGGTTATGATCAGTGGGATGAAAAATCTTGACGGTTTTCTCTTGTTTCAGAAATGCAAGCAGTTTCATAACACTTTGTTTTACTGTATCTTTCAGGAAACGAAGTTGGAAAGTTACAAAAGCATCTTTGCAGTCAAGCACCAAACCTTGTATTAGGCTTTACCAAACAGACTAAGCTTAACATTTGTCAAGCAGAACGGCCAGTTGCCTTGCACGGGAAGGATTAGAAGTGAACAATGACTCGATTGAGAGTTTATGAGCAATTGCTTGGAGCCTATCTGCTTATCATTCTCCATGTTCAAGGTAAATATGTACTAACTGAAATAAGTTTATATTTTTCATCTGTAACTGGGTTGTGTGTATTCCAGTGGTTGGGGTAGGGTTTTTTCGTTTGGGGTTTGGTTTTTTAGGTTTGTTTTGGTTTGTTTTTTTTAATTTTGCAGGCAGGTGGCTTATCTGCCTGACATGTCATATAGCCACTTCCCTAAAAAGAAGGACATTATAGTGGCCATGTGTCCTGGTTTCAGCTGGGGTAGAGTTAATTTTCTTTCTAGTAGCTGGTATAGTGCTATGTTTTGGATTCAGTATGAGAAGAATGTTGATAACACGCTGATGTTTTCAGTTGTTGCTAAGTAATGTTTAGTCTAAAGTCAAGGATTTTTCAGCTTCTCATGCCCAGCCAGCAAGAAGGCTGGAGGGGCACAAGAAGTGGGGAAGGGACACAGCCAGGGCACCTGACCCAAACTGGCCAAAGGGGTATTCCATACCATGGGACGTCATGCCCAGTATATAAACTGGGGGGAGGTGGGCAGGGTGGGGGGTGGGGATCACTGGTTGGGAACTAACTGGGCATCCGTTGGTGAGTGGTGAGCAATTGCATTGTGCATCACTTGTTTTGTGAAAAGAATTCCAGTTCTTTTATTGTTGTCATTATTATCATTATTATTTTCTTCCTTTCTGTTCTTTTAAACTGTTGTTGTAGTATACATTATAGATTAGGTCTATTTTAGCAAATGCTTAAGTGGAGACAATACCAGAAGTGTATAGTACACTGTGATGCAGGTTATATGAGCAGCAGAATTGAAGGTTTGACTTTCTGAATTTCAGTTTCCTGTATGTGTGCATCTTTGATCCCTTTAAACTTGACACACTGAAGAAATTGCTGTGTGCAGTACCCTGTGCCTTCTGGTGCTCCTAGCAGCCAAGAGATAGTGTCGTATAACTAGTCTAAATAAACTTGTTATGCCTACTCGATGGGCCAAGATGAGGCTATGGGATGTTCACAATAGCCTGGTTTTCAGTTAGTGAAGATACTTGTTTGTACATCTGTTGTCTTTCCAGCCACCAGTTATGAAAAACTTCTGGAAACCCAGTTGTCATTAGAACTTCAACTCCTCTGTCAAATTGGGTTGAATTAAAAAGAAAAGTGTTGGGAACCGAAGTATTGGGAACCAGCCAATGTCAATATCTCATGCTCTATCAGGAATTGAAGCTTAAGTATAAAGATTATAACTGGCTTGTGGAAAAATCCATTGTATTATTATTTCCTTACTCATTAGCAACTGTACCTGGTAGATCTGATTCTGTAATTGCTTGTAGTTCAGAGAAGTGTCAGAATAGCAGAACGGTATCTGAGCTGTTAGTGGTATTGCATTCTCATGTTTGGGACATGAACAGTGGTGCTCTGCATGTCCATAAAGCATGTACATCCATAGCTGGTCTCTGTGTAAGATTTCTTGTTCTCCCTGCTGTGCACCTCTCATATATCTCAGTCGAATATACAGAGCTTTCCATATGTTTTGAGGGAAATAAACAAGACTAATTTGGTACTGCCACTGTAATACTTGAATCTAAAAGGTTTTATATTCTTTTTCCACGCTTACATCAATTACTGCTTAGTGCTTGATTTTATTTTGAGATATTCTTTGAGCTATTTACTTTCAAGAGTAACAATTAAATGAATCCATTAAAATGGGGAGAGGAGGAAGCCTGGTAGGTACCCAGATGACAATCTTTGTTCTTTTTCTGCTGTGGACCTGCAATATGAGATTAAAGGATTTAGCAGAGCTGTGTCTATCAGGACTATGCTTGATACATAGCTTGACAACTGATTTTAAGAGCAGACTTGCATCAAGTGTGTAATGGGCCTGCTCCCTTTAAGCCACTTGGTCCTGTCTCTCCCCGTGTGTTGGTATTTATCCTCTTGTAACCAAGTGCCAAGGTGTATTTGGGAACTGCTGCAGCTTCTAACTTGGGTGGGGGGAAGCACAAGGCTCTACCCTTAAACATAACCCAAACCTTTATTAAGCAGTATATACAAATGACACTGAAGATACTTACCTGGAATTGACCAGGGAGGAGCTGTCAACTACACTAAGACCCGAATTAAATGAACAGTGCCTCAGTGCAAGGAGGATCATCTTTAAGCTCTTTCAAGTACCATCCCACACACACATTCACAGCTAAGCTTTTATGGAACAGAACTCCTCTCTCTGGATCTGTGCAGAATTGCACTTTACTTAAAACTGCCATTCTTTCTTTTGAGTTTCCTGTGGGGTTCAGTCCAGGAGGCTACCACGAGCACACTGAAGGCTTCTGTATTGTTGAGTACAGCCTACAGAATTGTAAACTTTTCTTCCAAAACTGGACAAGTGTTCCTGTATAATTGCCAAGTTATTTGAGTGCTTTCATCTTTTTAGCCTGCAGGGGCTCAGAATAGTGTCTCGTAACTTTTAGGTATGTGCTTTAAGTGCTGATGTTTGGCTTGATTCACTCTGTGTTTGTGTATGCATGCACACACGTACTTCAGGAGTGGGGAAGAGCATTGGGTCTTAGTTTGAAGCTTTGTCATTGCAGCAAAGATTCCAAGGTTGAAAGCAACAAAACAAACAAATCCAGGATTATTCCATCTTTGTTGCATTAGTTAAGTTTTGAGAGGGAAATTATCAAGACCAGTCCCTCTTCCTGTTGTGGACACGCAATTTTAAATTGGCAAGTAATAGCTCAACTATTTAGACAGAAATAGCCTAGTTTGGGTATAGTGGAAGTTTATAGTACAGATTTTCAAATATTCACAGGTAGCTGTAAGGTGATTAGATTGGTAACAGGCACAAATCACAATAAAGGAAATTTTGGTGAGAAATTAGGAAAGAAATTTTCACTGTGAATGTGGTTAAGCACTAGAAGAGGCTGCCTCGAGAGGTTGTGCAATATCCATCCTTAGAGATAGTTGAAACTTTACTAGAATGACTCTGAACAACCTAGTCTCACTTAGAAGTTGGTCCTGCTTTGACCAGGTGGTGGTACCAGGTGACTTCTAGAGGTCTCATCTACTCTAAAATACTCTCAGACACAGTATTTTGCAGTGGGGCTTGTTCTACTAGAATTCAAGCAGCTTTGCTGCTTCTTGCAGAAGATACCAGCTTCTTCCCTCGAAGAGGTTGGGAGTGATATGCTTTGTTCTTTTTACTGAAGTCATGGTTACCCCTTTGCATTAGTCAGCAATTTTCAGCATTTTACTCAAAGGCAATAGCAACTGAAGGAACAATTTTTTTTTTCTCTAGGTACAAATAGAACTAATAATACAAATATACAGGTCTTATGGTGGCTTAAAATTAAATTAAATTAACTCCTTCCATGATCAAATTTATTAATAATGTTTCAATAAATAACTTCTAACAAATAATATAGCTAAATTAAGTTTAAAGATTGTAAAAAAATTTTTCAGCCTCTAAAGAAGAAATTGCCTTGTCTTAGGAATATTTCTGACTTTCAAATCAATACTGAGCAAGTTCTGAAAGCCATGGGAAAGTTGAGCTTACTGAAATGTTGGTTCTTTGATGCAAGTTGCCTAAGGGCTTGTCTTCAAACATATAAAATATGCTTGGTTTCTAGGGGTGGTGAGTAGAAAAACATTAAAGTCTTTCTGCTTGTTCCTAGATTCATGGAGGAGTTGTGCTTGGGGATGAGGAAAGAATAAAGTTGATAGTCATCAAGTATTTGAAATTTTTATAGGAAAGAGGAAATCTAAAGTGAAAAGTCTAAAAAGTGGAAATTGGAAGTGGAAAAAATAGTTTCAACAAGGAAAATATATACAGGATATTACAAAAATGCATCATAAAGGAGCCAGTAGAGGTGGAGACAACACATTATGAGGAATTGAAGAGAATTAATGTGATTTACAGAAAGAGGAGGGAAAAGCAGAGAAAGTAGAAATAACCCAGTGTGTGTACGTTCAGTGACTGACACCCAGCTTAATGGTTTGTTCCCTCAGTTGTTTTGGAGGCTTCTTCAAAATGGTAGGAATTTCTGGGCTTACCAAGACCTGAGAGAATAGTAAAAGCAAGTATGTCTGTATACGTGCATGTATATATACACACCAGATTCCTTAATAGGTAACTTTAAAAAACAAGTGGCTGCATGTGTTGATTAATGTGAAAATATTCTTACAACAACAGCAGAAAACAGGCAATTCCATGACATTATTGGTGAACAGCTGCTGTTTCTCAGGTCAGTACTACAGAGCAGGGGGACACAGTGGTTACCCTTTGGATTGTATCTTCTTTATGGGACTTTTTCACTCACATTGAGAAATGATTGAAAATAAGGCTGGGTAGCAGATGGCTAGATTTAATAGCAACCTTTTCAGGAAAAACATTTTATATTTCCTTTCTCACTGTGGAAGGTCTTTGCAATATCTTTAGACCTGTGACTTGCTCTGCATCTTCACCCACCTACTTATGCTCATCTAAGGCAAGAGGTTATCAGCTTCTGTTGCAGTTGAGGACTGTGGTAAACATGCTTTTGTCTTCGCACTAGTGCAGGTTTTTAGTTCAGAGAAGCAGTTTTACTTCCGAGTTCTTTCTTTTTTTTTATAATGCATTGATGACCATAACTAATCAATATATGTAACAGAGTAGTTAAAGAACTTAATGTGTACTTCAAGACGTTCTCCTAAATTTTGTACTCTGTTACTGTCAGTTTACTATATGCTGTAATGTTAGATATGTGGTTCATCACACCCTTATGTGTTCTTCAGAGACACTGCAGAAGACCAGTATTTTAATCCTTGTAAATTAGTTGACTAAAAATGTATTAATAGCATTCAATATGTATGAAGAAAGGTTTATTAAAAGTTAAATTTAAAAATCATTAGTGATAATATTAAATATTAAAATAGGTTTATTAAAGTTGGCATTGTCCGTTAGTGAACTGAAAAAAATCCGTTGAGATTTGATTTCACTGTCATACTTCTATTCAAAGATTTGATGTAGAAAAGGATGTTGGTTTTTGGGTTTTTTTTA